GACTGAATCTGTTGTTGCGTCAATTTCTTCGTCAACCTGTCATAGCACTTAATGGAGATATGCCTCAAGCTCAGCGATTAGGTGCACTGCACAAATTTAAACGAACTCAAGGTGCAGTTCTTGTAGCTACAGATGTGGCAAGCCGGTAAGCGTCTCTATGTTTTCTACCTTTTGGTTTGAAAGCTAAGCTAACAGTCATTTAGGATGACATGATTGTTGCTCGTCTTTACTAGCAACATCGCTTTTAGTTGAAGCTATTTTGTGGAGATTGGTTTAATCTGTAAGTTGCATTTGTCACAGATTGATTTCAGTTTGGGCACCATTGAAAACCAGGAAGAACTATGCGGCTCTTTGATACTGGTATACGACTCATCAACCAAAGCCTACTAGTTAGACCATTCTCCACTAAACTCCTCCAACCTAACTATAATAGACAGCTCACCATTAATTTACTCCGGGATGTTTCTGAAGTATTAGTGAAGAAATCGTCACTGGCGGAGAATAAGGTAGTAATTGTCACCAGTGGCATTGGATGGTCGTCGCACTAGAATTCGGATGTTACTTTCAGTTCCTGTTCCTGTTTTCTAGCTTATTCGGTTGATTTTTGTTGGGGACGTTAGACTCCCAGAACTCACTTGGAAAACGACCCAATTTTGTAATTTATCCAGAAAATTTGAACTTCTTTGTTTACGCGCCAAAAGCGCTCTTTTCACCTTCATGTCGTATTTCCCACTTGGGAGAATCTTAAATGCCATTGGTCCGTTGTGTCTTTTAGTATGCTATTTTGTAACTCTCTCCAAGGATGGTTTTGTGCTGTATATATACGTTTTGATTTGTGTTTGTTGTTATCGCTCGTTTTCTGGCTGTTTGCGGAATATACTTCCCGATTCCAAGTTTGGACTTCTTCCTCTAGTTAGCGGGGCTGGGACGCATCGAATAGAGCTAGCTTATTTGTCTTTGGTCATCGAGTCTTCGCTCCGTTCGCAGTCTAAGTAAACTCGTAACCTCTTCAAACCTAGCAATTTTACACCTATTTTTCAATCTGTCAGTTCAAATTACTACGCATCATATAATTTAACGTTGCATAACTACAGTTGTCTTATCTACATCATTTATGTTCAAGTTAGTGTATACTGTGAAGCCTAAATTATTGCTTGTAAATCATCAGTTTGAATTAAAATCGATTAAAAACTATTGTAAAGCTTAGAGTATTAACAAATGCTCAATATAGTTCATTTTGTTTAACAGCTTCATCGCACTCATCACTTTCGTATTTTCTGTTAAGGATATTGTCACTACCGGACTTGATTAAAGAAAGCTACCATTTTCCAACTTTAGTCAAGTTGTGTTGTAATATGATCTAGTTCTGATTCAACTGACCGATGCTCATCATCTACAACTTAGTTTGTTACAGTCACATACAGTTTTTGATTCCTATTAAGACGTAAAGACTCTTGCCCTTGATTAGTTCACTAACAAGAAATATATAGCTGTTCTATTAATAGTGTTAAACATAATTTTATTAGCTGATATCACTTACTCTCTTTTACTTATACATACTCTTCTTTAGTACTTAGTTAGTTGGTTAAACATTTGAATTAGTATTTTATTACTACAGACTGCTGCAATAGCTTAGGGGGTTAAATCATCTAAATTTCAACTCTTGTCTTGCAGGTTCAAAAAATCCATCCTATCTTCCCTTTTGGACAATCAGGGTCGAGCAGAATACACTAATCTACACTTTATTCAGTCATGATTAAGAAAGCTTTCGCAAACATCTTTTCATAGTATATAGCCTTGTTATAGTTTATTTATTATGGCGATTCTCCCAATTATGACTGATAGACATCTTAAAATAATTAGTTTAGTGATCCATTAGATGTTGAAGGGTTCTTAAGCTTTAATAGCTTGTTTTGTTATTTGTACTTACTATTATAAATGAATACCCATCTTGAAAAGTTGATAATTTCTCTTTCTTACCCAGTGGTTTAGATATTCCCCAAGTAGGGTTAGTGGTGAATTACGATGTGCCCTTAGATGCAAAAATCTACATGCATCGAGTTGGACGAACTGCTCGAGCTGGTCGCCTTGGTTGTGCTTTAACATTGCTTACCCAATACTCTGTTACGTTCTTCTTGAAGGAGATTGAATCGCACTTGATATCTGCTGGTGGTCTTGGTCATGAAAGGATTCCTGCATTAGTTGAACCAAATAGTTCAGTAGATAAACAGTTAGAAAAAGCTATTGAGGAGTTAAATATAGGAGTAAAAGAGGCATCTCTTAGAGCGAATCAGGTTAGTTTATAGTTATTATGCAAACTAATATTAATTTCATAAAATATTTATTAACTTGTCCATCATACACTTATTCATTCGTTTATTTATTTGTTGAATGCAGGCAGTGGAGTCAATGCGAAAACGTGTAAAATCTAAAGGTGTTACCGTATTTACAGCTGTTGACGATTTGCCTACACCCAATATCAATGAAATAGCTACTAAGCCTGGTTTAAAACGAACATCTTGGGCATCTGAAGCACCTGCCTCTAAAAAGCAAGAAATTTCAGAAGTTATGAATGCAATGTCAACTGTTCCCGGAAAGCAAACAAATGAAAATGATTACATGTCAACTAGCATTAACAAGCAGAAGAAACGTAGAAATATTTCTAACACAAAGGAGAAAAGTCACATTAATAGTAATAATAGTAAAAAGAATAAGAGTAGAACTTCTAAACCTGGAAAACCATTCAAAAAGCATGGCAAACATAAATAATATATATACAGCATAATTCTCATGTATGCCTGTTTCGACAAACACACGCCATCTTCTGTCTTCTCATTTCTTTCGAATTGAGAATATTATCATGTATAATTATTCTTGGTAAAAACAACATATATATATATTGTAAAGGAATTTTATTGCTAACGTGTAATTTATACGTTTTTAGTCTAAAAGTTTAGTGTAAAGCTTGTAAATCAAACCGATAGAAAGTGTCTACCAGAACATTTCTGATTTACGGTGTGATATTGGGGAAAGTATTGTCCAACAATTGTTCATACACTCATTACACTAAAGTTTAAATCTCCAACTATGATGGTATAACCGCCTAAATTATAATTTTCTATAGAGCATAACAGTTGATTCATTGGATGTAACAAACCAGCTAAACCCCAAAAATAAAATTTGTTCAGAAAGACAATACAGTAATAAAAGACTAAAATACTCATAAAATTCACAAAGCTCATGACGTAAATTATGTGGATGTTATTTTTCTATTCAAAAGGATAATTAAAAAGAAAGTATGCCTTTCAAATAAATGAACAAGAAAAAGGATGTAAAATGAACATGAAAATAACGTATATTCACCTGAGGCATTTACCGTTGACCACATCGAGATAATAGAGATCGGCAAGTTCCTTCGCTCTAAGAGGAGAAATCAAATTGGAATAAGTGGATCATTTACTCATAAAAATTGGTAACAAATGACATTGTATTGTATTAAGTAGATTCTTTTGTTCAAAATTGTAGTTAAATACTTTGAATTTAGATCAGGATGTTTCAGTAGCAAGATTTTAGCAGTACATGGAACAGTTAGATGAATATTACATAAAGCTCGTTTCAGCAAGACGAATAAAGCTAACAAGGTGTAGAAATAACCAGGACTAGGTCGTTGCCAAAAATTGAATTAGGTTATTTGTTAAAAGGATTTACGGCACTCAAATGCTAATGAATTTACACTATCTTTAGAAATGAAACATCAAAGTGCATTACAAGAATTTAATATTTTAAATGGTAAATTAAACATCAAAATTTTTAAACATTGTTTGGCAAGTTTTAAAAAAAAGGAAAATGTTCATAAAATTGTTTGATGGATAAATTGATAGAAACATATTCAGAAGTACGTAAGCGACGACCCTATTATGGGTACCTGATACCTGTTCATAGAGATCAATACTAGCGTATCTTTGGTCGAACACATGTAAACGACATGGATATCTTGCTTGAACTGTTACTTTTTGGGAATGTGTTCCAGAAGTGTGATAGTTAAACCATTGCGATTAACTCGTTATCTCATTTGCATGTAGCCCTCAAAATTGTAATAACCTTAGTTTCAAGAGCGTTTGTGCTGATTATATTTTACTGGATTAATTAACGTGTTCGAGTTAAAGGTTTTGGAATTGGGTCCTCCACATAACCCCCATATATAGACTAATCCTCAACTTACTTAAATACTAACTAGGATGTACGTTCTTGAAGTTCTGGTGAAATGTCATAACCAGTGGAGTTCAGAAATGTTGAGAGGGGAACAGTCATCACGAATTGATCGGAGTTGGGAATATTTACCATTGGATGTTACTCTCGTAGTTTTAGTGTTTAAGTGCTTATCGCGATCCTTTAGTCTTCAGTTTGCATTGTGGAAAAATTATGGAAACACATTGCTATTTCTACGTCTACACCTAGTTTTTCATAACTTTATATTAATTACTGTTTACATTTGAGTAGTCAATAACAGATGTTTAAAGATCATATCTGTGATTTCAGAGCTAAGCGATACATTTCATTTGATATTTCAAAAGTTATTACAAGAATCAGAACACTTCAATCGAAACCAACGAATAGGTTGTCAGCGTTTATTCAATTCAATTATTTATTTATGCTAGGCATTACAATTGACAACTTTAAGAAATGTTGAAATACGAACTAAAAATATCTAACATCAATATGAAAAATGCATCAGATGTCATAAAGTACATTTAAAAAACAGATTTTAAATTGATATGCGTATAATACAGCATGGTTATTGTCTGTAAAATCTATCCTTTGTGGAATGTGATTTTAATTTCATTTTCTTGAAAAGATGAATGTACTATTATAATTGTAATTTCAGACAATAATCATTGATTAGGCGAGACTATAATTTATGGACGAACCAATCAGATAAAAGATAACAGGTTTCGGATTTTGGTGCAAAATTCATCTACTCATTTGTTTAAAAACCACTTTGACATTACAGCTGATGTCAGTCCGTAATGAAAACCCTAAATATAATTACTAACCTTAACTATCAACTGTAAATCAAAATTCGTATTCCTCACAAAGGTTTATAATCCTCATCCATTCTTAGTTATTGAGTGGACAGTTTCAAGGTCAATCTAGGTCGTCCATAAATTATAGTCTAATCATTGATTACATGAACTACTTGTCAAAGAAACATACTTGTTTACAAAATATTAATGAATAACTAAGTAGAACAAACATTGTAAATGATTATCTAATATAATAAAAATGTAATTTTAAATTAACTAACAGAAACAAATATAGTCATTTGTTCAACTATTCAATCCGTTGAATATAAATAAATAAATATTTTATTAAAGGGAATTCAAATATTGTGTAAACTATAAATACACGTGATACTTTTCTGTCTAATCTATTGGTTAAATACTTGACAAATCAAGACTATGCACTAAAATATGAAAAAAAGTAAAAGATGGGTTCAAAAGATTTTTATTTTTATTTAAAACTAAGTAAATAAACATTGACTTTAGTAATAAAAAAACAAACAAACAAAATGATATATAAACTGATTGAAATGATCAAATTTCTATCTTAAATGATGACAGATCTGTATGAATATTTCTATCATTAAAGATTCATCAAGTATATTATGAACTGTAATAATTATCATTTGTTAAGATATTGGTTGAATTTATTTCACAGTTGATAATATTTCTTTAAACACTCTCTTCACACTTATTCATATATCAAATATATATACATATATATAAAGAGAGAGAACTTCTTTGAATGCATTTATATCGTTTTGCAAGTCAAATTCTTAATGAAAAAGAATTCGATCTTAGATTATTACGTCTAGGTCGTTTTCAACCTTGGGGATTTCGATTTAATAAAAATCAAGGACATCTATGGGTATCTGAAGTAAGTATTTCAGTGAATTTTACATTTCGGTTCTTTTACTGAATAAAAAAAAATGTTCAAAATTTTAATATGGCTTCAGTTTTAATTAATTTCCTAAGTACCATACAATCGTAAAACTGTTGATTGCATAACTTTTTTACCTAAGTGTTCAAGTGCTAACTTAAAATGATTTTAATTGAGGAATATTTGAAATGCGGAACCTCTTATCTTCTTCCGTGGTCTTCTAACTAATTAAAAGTTCAACTAATCGACAAAATTGAGCGACACATCAACCATTGACATCAGTGAGTTACTATCTCACTGATGACAATGATGGATGTGTCGCTCAATTTCGTGGATTAGTTGGAGCTAGACATTAACACCGTTGGATGCAAGCCGGCTCAGTGGTCTAGTGGTTAGGCGCTCGCGCGCGAGAATGATAGGTCCTGGGCTCGAATCTCACGAGGCGGGATCGTGGATGCGCACTGCTGAGGAGTTCCACGATACGACGAAACGGACGCCCAGTGCTTCCGAGTTTTCCATGGTGGTCTAGCTTCAATTGATTCATGATCTCAACCATTGAAATTACTACAATATCCACAAAACCCTTTCTGATATTAATTAAAAGTTGTTGGAGGATTCATTGAAATTATCGACTTAAAAATTGTTTATGAATAAGTCTATAATATCTTTATATAACCAAAAATTAAATATTAAAACTTTAATGAACCAATCTTCAATCACTGCAAAAATACCGAAAACTCAAAGAGTGGGGAATTATCAAGGGAAAAGAAAACTGTACATTTAAGATTGGTATAGTAAGTAGCAGATAGTCCAACTATATTTCATGAATAAACCAGGCATAGCTAAGTTATGACTATGGTATATTTGAAATTCTATTGTCCTTATAATAAAGCATGTAATTTACTAATAGATGAAAGGTGATCAACTATCAGCAATTTTTTCTACTAGTTTAGTTCATGACTCAGCTTAAATTTTTATTATGTATATTATGTGAAAATAATAAAACCCCTTTAAATATAAACAACATATATATATATATATATATATGCGTTAAATCCTTGTTCCTAATAATGTGTGATAGATAAATAGTAAGATAAATATTTGATAAACAGTTGCTGATAATAATGTTTGTTTAATTTATTAAGTCCTAACAATAAAACCTTTTTTTAAAGAAAACTACAGATCAATAAACTGTTTCATTCACAAAAGTGATAAAACTACCTTTTCTAAAATTGAAGATAGAAAAAGGAGATAAAATGGATAAAATAAGAAGGTTAGAAGAAGGATTACAAGGTAGTTTTATGTTTATAGATTTTTTTTCTCATGGATCGAAAGTGTATCTTTATGAGTAACTGTCATTCTTATTTATGGTTTAACTGTTAATAACTACTAATTCGATTTTACAATTGTAGTAGTAATTCTATGCTGTGAAGAAAAGAATTCGTAATGCTTGTCTTAGCTAACGATATGGATAACTGTTGTCTACCTTTCACCTATCAGCCAAGTTATTCTACTCCGCTTGCATATGCATTCTCATTTCCAAGCGGATTTGACGAATCAATATTATATTCTTCACCAACTTATATTTTTTATATTTTATAAGTCGTTGACATCGTACATAAGACCTTGCCCTTTTATTGTATTCATAAACCGTTTAATAATCAATTCATTGAGATCAACTGGAGCAGAAAAAGCTTTTGGTGTAATGGCACTGGTTGCTTTGACGTAAATCCTCCATTTGAGTTGTTATTTAGTATGTGTCTATTTGGTTGTATTTTAATTGATCCGTTCTGTACAGTTGACAAATTCCCTTACCAAGAAGCGTCTCTGTCAAAAGTGTATTATTGCCATTTCTAGTGTATTTACATAAAATCTTAAACTTTTGTAGCTTTAGGAATTAAGTTATGTTGGTGTCAAAAAGTATTTACGCTTCCTACTGATATCAGCGAAATTATTTTATTCTATCGAAATGGATTTGCCCAGGACAGAGTTGGATGGAGAATGATATCGAGCGGCCTATATTCCTCCATGAGGGGTAACAGGCATAAGTAAGTACGGAAAAACTTTTACTACCGCCATTGGCTGCGAAATGTAGTTACGATATCGATAACGTAAAAATAGACCATTTGCTATACACCTTAATAAGTTATTCCCACAGTCAGTTTATACTATATTCCAAACTAAGATTAAGACTTTAACTCGAAGTTTAAATATCAATCCCTTAGTGGATAACTCAGATTAGTATATTTTTCTAAAATACCTAGGCCAACTTGGGATTGATTAGGGTGAACCTGTTTTAACATCATAAATAGAAGTGACTTTGTATAAATGTAAAAATCTATATGTTTGCTCATTTTGACATAGTCAGTCCTGGTAAGTAAATAACTAATCCGTTTTTCGTTTATTCGTGGTTAGTTTTCAAGCAAATAAATGTTAGTAGTGTTATAAAAGATAAAAAGAGCTGCTTTGTCCTATATCTAGCCAAGTAGATGTCTTTCGTGTCCCATGATTCATTCTTCTCTCTACTTATTCAAAAGGGGATATGCCCTCAACATAGTAGCTAGTGTAGGGTCATTTGTAGAACCATCTACTCTCTTGTTTCGGATCTAGAGGCAATATGATTTGAATTCATATGAAGAGGTTTTTGCATGGAATTCACCTTAGTTTTAAAATGAAAACTCTACTACAAACTTTGATAAATTCATAGATCACAGGAAAACATTTTACATACAATAGGTTTTTAAATTCACCAGGGTGTATGTGATCGTTTCCTATTAAGGCACATAAAACTTTCTAGATAATCGAAGAATCACTGAAGTTTGACAGTTAAACATAGTTTTTACAAGTTTCTAGTCAAGAAAAACAATAGCTTTGAACTATATACATATAGACATTTGATTAACTGAGAAATATTTCAATGAAACTTGTAAGAAGCGAAAAATGTATAAAATTCAGAATTTATAAATAATCCTTCTTGTTTGTTTGGACAATGGATTTAATTGAATGTTTGAAACATTGTTAAATATTACTATGTAGCTGAAAGTAGACATTTCAAAAAAAGGTGAAATATTACATCATATATTGATGTATTTAATTCACATTGTAACTGAAATGTCCATTTTATTGATTATAACTATAGGTATTTATGGTATATTATTCCCACATGCATAAACAATATAAATGAGCCTATGTTTATATGGATCATTTAAGTAAACTAAAATACTTGTATACAACAAGAAGTAAATCTATTTCAGCAAATGTACAAGCTAGATTTTCAGATAACAATAGATGTGCACTTAAACATGAATTTGCCTAAAAACTAAAAGTATTATGTACTATTGAAAATTTTGTATGCGTTAAAATCTATTAGTATACTAAGGTAAAATTCTTTTTCTAAATTGTTTTCAAAAGTCAAAATAAAGTAAAATTTAAATGAATACTCATTCATGAAATTCAAATTAATGAAATAGATTTATATGACAGTTTCCATTACGAATTAGCGTCAGTTGGAGAGACGTTGAAAAACAAAAGGAGAGTTTTTAATAATTTTGTCCAAACTTAAGATTTATTAACAGCTTATATTTACAACTTGCACATGAAATCGAACTCGAAACGCTAAGAACTTTGATTTGCGACCCAACAACTCAAGTTTATTGGTGTTTATATATATCCATATCTATTTCACTATTTTTTGATAATATTATTTCAACGAAATGATTTGACTTGTTGTGAACTAATTGATTTATACATTTGGGGTAATACCTAAGTATATAGTTCTTTTGAAATAAATAATATTGGATTGATAACATTCGTAGTTGGATGGAACATAATCAATGTCGAATTATTTCTCAACACCAAACTGAACTATTTTTCGGATTATTGTTTTTTAAAAACTTGAAATTAAAAGTCACGTGCTATTCAGACTGTTGTGTTTCTTCATCCAAGTGAATACTGAGCGCAGGATGGGCTATGATATAATTTTGATATCTGGTTAATTATTGACTTATTTACTTGATCTAGTTCAACAAAATATCGATTTTGTGATAAACATTTAGTGGCCCTGGAATATCTGACTCCATTTAGATCTGACGAATGATCGTTGTTGAATGATTACCGTCAAAATATACATCCTTGCTACCGTCGTATATTTTCATCTACTTAAGTCGTGTTAGTGAATAACGGAATTAAATAAGTCAAATTCGAGAATGGATTTTTGAATATGTATATTTTGTGCACTCGTTGGTCGGAACAGACAATAAGAGAATCGCAGTGAATGAAGCGAAGAAGATAGAACAAAGTGAAATGACGCGCAATGGAGAAGGCGTGTGATCCAACTCGATTTAATCAAACATGAATCGATATTTAGCCAGATAAAAACAAGTTACAGATATGTGATGAATAGGATAAGAAGTGCACATATACGCTCACATAAAAACAGTCAAGGTTGTTAAGCGAATAATTAACAAGGTCAAAACGTGACTCAAGAAGAATGAATATATCGGTCTGTCTGGAAGTTAGAATAAGCTATGTGGGCTAAACATAGCAACCGACACTACAAACAATTTAATTGTAACATGTGCAATGAAGCACGAAGTCATACAGATTTGTGTTTAAGTTCATTTTTGTCAAATAGGTTTGATAAGTAATAGATGATAAATAAAAGCATTACAATAATAACTTGGAACCATCTGAGCTTTGGTTGTGCTTTAAAGTGTAAATTTTTTACAACTCTTCGGTTCTGTAATGAGATATAATGAAACCTGGTCATGATATTTTAGTCATCATGTATGTGTTTCGCATTGGCAGGTAGTCACTTCCAATTATTTTCTTCAACTAAAATAGTACTCATATATTTATCAAAATAAAATCCAATTTTAATGCCTTATAGCAACTAACGTGAAGTACGGATAGGTCAATTGAATAATTATTATGACAGGATTAAAATGAATAAATTCGTATCTTAAAGTACTTCTTATAGCGATTACAGTTTGTATGCA